GCTCCCCGGGCTTACTGGTGGCCGCTATCGCAGGCTTCGAAAAGCCTGGGCTTCAAAAGTACCGCCTGACCCACCCCCTCCTTGCTCCATCGCTTTGGAGCCGGTGTGGGAACTGGTTCGCCTTTTGAATTAAGGCTTTACAAAGCGGAGGTCCTCCATAGGATGCTTCCGAACAGAAAGAGCTGAAAACGACGTTTAAAATGAACAAAATTCACTGTCCTGTTTTACCTGAGAGGTGGTGGGGCGGGCTGGCAGTAGGTGGTGGGTGATGCGCCTGGTTTTGTTTTTTTGGCTTGTTTCCTCGTCCATGGCGCTCACAGCTGGGGAAACTTTTTATGGTCACTCTGGAAGTTTCTGAGGTCAGTAAATTGTGGGAGAATAGGGATTTTGCGTGGAAACTTAGTGAGCAGAACTGGAGATTAATTTTGAAAGGTAGATCTTGTGTTCTTTGTAGTGGTAAATATCGGAAAATATTTACATAAGGTGAAGTTATTAAGTTTACAAAATACTTCATTTAAAGAGCATTTCCCCTTCCTTTAGGGGAAAGTTCTCTATGTCTGTGTGTAAAGCCTTGATTTCAAGTTTCTAACTTCCTTTCTTCTTTTAATATGACTTGACTTGATGTTATTCAGTCTTGAATTTAAGCAAGTCAGTTATTAAAATTTATTTGAGATACTTTGATTTTTTTGGAGAGCTTTGAATCTTAAAACATCAAGAAGAAGCTTAAAGAAATTTGAGACTGACTTGCTAAAAGTCTCATGAGATCATCAAACTATTTTCTCCATCTGGATAAAGAGTTGGTGGATGACTTTTGTGATCATGCATGATTCATCACTTTTTCAAAAGAGGAACTTTTTCTGCTCTGGTACTCTTGCTGTGGCCCTCTTGGTTTGCTTTTTACTAAGGAAATTGTGTGGTTTTGGGGTAGAGGAGATGCTATCAGCAAATTCATAATTTTTTGAGAGGTAGTAAAATTGGTAATAGTGTTTTCTTAAGCTTCTATGTTAGATGTTTATTAACACCTCTTGTTTATTTTAAGGCGAGGGCTAGCAAATGTTGCAGCTATCTTATAGTGTATTAAATTGTGGTAATGTTTGTGAAAGTAAGTCCAATTGCAGCAACATGTAGTGAGTGGAAAGGACAGCTCTGTGCTAAAGAAATGCAGTCTTTAGAAGGAAAAAGTGCTGTGCAATCATTTGATTGTTAGAACATGGGAAGGAAGGAGGACTCTTACCATGAACAGTAGGATATTAGTGGTAGGTATGTGGAGTGACAGGTGAGGAGGAACAAAGAGAATTTGAAGCAGTTGAAGACAATTTGTGTTGTCATGTCAAAAAGAAGAGGAAGGAAGAAGGAAAATACTTGAGTACTCCAGAAAAACCATAGAAAACTATCCCTCTCCTAACTAAGGATTCAGTGACTAAACTGTAAACGTGAATCTAGTGGCCCTAATCCCTTAATACCTCTTTGGGGAAGGGTTTTGGTGTTATTACTGACTTGCAGAGCAGCATACGTGAAGCCTGTCAGCGTCATAGTTCATGTAAAATTATGTGTGTGGTGACACTTGTCAAACCTGTTTCTCTTTCAGGTGTTTGCCAGATGTTTTAAAAAACATATGTAGAGATAGCACTGTGAATGTGTTATTGACAAAGGTCGGTGTCGTGAATGGCTTGCAGATAACCTATGCCCAAAAGATCCTCTAGCACTTCTCCTGCAGAGGTTCTCAAACTCTATGGCCTGAAGGCAAATGGCACACAAAAAGGCCGCGTGAGTGTCTCTTTGTCTCTGTATGTCCAGAATTGAGAGCTGCTGTTGCTCCTAACAGCAGTGGCAATGCTAGGGAAGCAAAATACATTTGGGAACCTTGTGCTAAGGTTCCAAAATTCTTGATTGGCTATTTGACATGCTTTTGTATTTTTTTGCAATAAAGATACCATCTGTCTCTGTAGAAATGTTTGTGAAGAAAGTCTCTGCTCAGATCTACTGCAATACTTGTCATGCAAAAATTTGCCTGTAACTGCGAAGTAACAATTGTATAAAATTCTCAGTGTTAGTGAACAGTAGTATTGCATGTTTGAAAAATAAAAATGCTGCTGCTGTTTTACTGAGGTGAGTTGCTGTAGTAGTAAATATTTTGAGAATTTACGCAAGATTCCAAGGGGCAATAGTGCTTCTTTTTTTTGTAGCTCACCCCTTTGTGCTAGTAATTTAGCAGCAGCAGAGCTAACTTGTCCATCTGTTCTAGCTTCATTTTGGCGGCATTTCAAATACAGATTTCCTTATCTTTAAAGATTGGGTTTTGAAATCACAGGGTGTATAGTTCTGGATTCTCAAGTCCTTGGCTTTCTTAAAAGGTTACCATACTACAGTAGTGTTCATGCTAGTGAGCAGTGTGTATCTTACATTAATTTGCTTTGACAGCCTCAGAAAGTTTGGGAACAAATTTGGATTGAGATTAGGTTTCTTTATCTTCCAATTTTTGGCCAAAGGTAGCTTAATAAACAAGGTATTAATCACTTATATTCCTGCTTAACTGGATCAGTGCTTTTTTAAAAATTAGTCTTACTGTTTCATTCTGGAGTTAAAAGGTTTGAGTTCTGGTTGAGACTGAGCATTAGTTTATTGTTGGGTTTTACTATGAACTGATCACTCTTTCATTCACTGGGTAAAAGCTTGCAAATCAAGTGACTGGAGAGAAATTCTGCCATCCTAAGGTTCAAAGTCAGTTGATTCCAACTACCTGCTGATGGAAAGTTGCTACACTTTTGTTTCAGGAACCTAGACCCAGATCATCAAATTAGTGCTGTTCATGGGTTCCAGGTTTGTGTAGGGTGAGCTGCCTTTGCACCTTTGGAATTGCTTTAGGGCCATTTGTGCTGGTGACAGCGCTGTGCGTTGTGTGCAGGGAACACCTACTGATGTAGTGCTTTCCTAGAGCAAGTGAGATCTCTTTGAAACTGATTATTTGAACTTAAAACTGATCATACAAAGGAAAAAACAATAGTGCTATCCAATATGTTCCTGTTGATGACAGCATGAAAAGGAAGTAGATTTATTGGAGATGAACTTTCTCACGAATAGTAGGATATTAATGCTGGATGCCTGGAGTGACAGCTGAAAAAGAGCATTGAGAGTTATGCTTATGAGCAGCAGAGGAAATAATTGGAAATTAGTTTCTTAAATAATCTGGATTAATAATAAGTTATTAAAGTTGTTTTTCTGCTGGAGGATTTTGGTGGCTTTTTAACAGTTATTTTGTACCTCTATTTTTGAAGAGTCCCCTCTAGTTAAGTATTTCCAAAGTAAAAAGTTTGGCTGCATCGAGGCTGATGAACTGACTTACAAGATGGCCTATGAAACAGCAGACTGGATTTTAAAATAACATATAGGTAGATAACCAGGCAATGGCTTTATATGGTATTTTGATTCCTTTAAATATTGGAATAAATTTGGACTATGCTGTTAGATTGCTCCTAAGTGCTTAATGCTTTACTTCTAGCTGTGAATTCTTATAGAAGATTGATAGCTCTGCCAACATTTGTCCACAATAGAAGATGGGTGGATTAATTTCAAGATGGAGGGTAAGTAAAATCATGTAACAATATAGTAATCTTTAGTCTAGAAGATGGGAGTACACAGGACATGTTTCTTAATGCCTATTGCTTGACTGTTAATGCTGGTTGAACGTTAGTGCTAAACTTTTCTCATTTAATATGTCACTTAAAGTCCAGTAGCGAGACATAATAACCAAAAATATTCTCTGCCAAATCCCTAAACTGTGAAGTTGTGCAGCTGTCCTTTATTTCATTTGCAGTTCCAGGCCTGGGACTGGTTTGGTTAACTTATAAAAATACGGTTTTAACTCTTTCTGTAAACCAGAATAGTTCTGTGTTGCTTCATTGGGATAAATACAGCAGCATTTGTGACTTGAAAGATTGGTAGCTATTTTAGGTCAAAATGAATACATTCATTCTATGTCTGATTTAACAAATATTTTGGTAGCTACTTATACAAGTCTTTCTTCCTAACTGTTTTTATTGGCTTGTATATTATTGAATAATGTACTGAGTTTGAGGAAGAGGCACAAGGTTTTTGACTACTCTTCTGGCAGGTGTGAGTTGTTTGAGTCTAGGTTTGCCTTTGCATATTATCAGTTGATTTCAGAGCCTCCCATACAAAACTCCTTTAAAGGGAAAAGTTTAGGTGAAATGCCAGTTTTGTTTAATAGAAACAAACTTACTTTCATGGTGATGCAGTGTGGGCTATGTTTTTTTTGAATTTGTGGCCTGAAGATGGGCAAAGACAGTGGCTTTATGCTCAGAAATTAGGAAGGATTCCTAGAAGGTGGCTTCCAAGTTGCTCTTAAGGGGAATTTTACTGGAGATAGTAATGCTTATTTGCAGTTTCTTATAATTTATTTTAGAGCATGTGTCTTTGTGGAATAAATAATAATAAAAGGCTGAAGTTCTCAGGTTAGGGCTTCCTGTATATATTATCTTTGTTTTGTTTATTCCCTCGACTCATCAATTCTCTCCTTGTTTTACATCCCACCCACACATCCATTATTGCTGTGCATGCATTATAGGTTTTAATCTTTTGTGGTGTAGGAGAGAAACCTTCAGTTAATAGTAATACCAAATATAAAATAATGATTCATTAGTCCCTTCTATTTGTCAATATTAAAGTAGGAAAACTTCTTACCTTTATGTAAAATATATTCATAATAGATTCATATTTTATCTGCCTTTTTGTTAGGAAACTGTTAATGTACAGTAATCCTCAAAATACTGACTTTTTAAAAGTGAGATTAACATCTTTGTTCTTTCCCTTGTAAGCAGGCAAAGCCTTCCACTGTAGAAGTGTTAGAGAAAATTGATAAGGTACGTATTTGCTTTTTGGTGTTTGTTTGATTTTTGTTTAGAAATATGCATCCTTTTTGCTGGTCATGTATTTCTTCCATGTTATGTAAAGTACTGTCATGGAATTTTAAATTATTGTCCTGGTTTTGGCTGGGATAGAGTTAATTTTCTTTCTAGTAGCTGATATAGTGCTGTGTTTTGGATTTAGTATGAGAATAATGTTGATAACATGCTGATGTTTTTAGTTGTTGCCAGGTAGTTTAGTGTTTACATGAAGTCAAGGACTTTCCAGCTTCCCACGCTCTGCCAGGTGCACAAGAAGCCAGGAGAGCACAGCCGGGACAGCTGACCCAGCCTGGCCAAAGGGATGTTCCCTGCCGTATAATGTCATGTTCGGTGTATGAACTAGGGAAGCTAGCCAGGATCGCTGCTTGGAAACAGGCTGGGCATCGAGTGTTTTGCAGGTGGCAAGCAATTGCATTTGTGCATCACTTGTATTATTATTACTTATTAGTTATCCTATTACACTGTCTTTATCTCAACCCGTGAGGTTTTTTTTACCCTGTTCTCCTCCCCATCCCACGCTGTGGGGTCGAGGGGTGAGTAAGTGACTGTGTGGTGCTTAGTTATCTGCTGGGGTTAAACTATGGCAATTATCTCAATAATTATTCCAGTTGGATGTACTAGAGATTCTGAGTTTCAGATGGACTGCCACCTTTTTTTCCCCTTACTATTAGTCACTTTAAAAATACTGTATAATGGAGAGTGAGAAATTACAGTTTAAATATTTATTTAGAGAGCCTGAAATGGGAATGAATGTGAAGTTGGCTTGATTACACAATTATAACTAATGGTTAAACTCACACGTAATGGAAAATGTCACTAATGGGAAGTTCCATTCATCAGGCTCATTAGAAAAGCTTCAATATATGGTTTTAAGTATAAGAATTGTAACTGTAGTGGTAGTAAGTAAGGTCAGGGGCAGAATAACTGAATAGATGGTTCAGTAATCAACTGTGATTTTTAGCCAGAGTTTGTGACAGAAGTCTGTACTCTATGGGGAAATTAACTGTTTTGAAATATGGTGTTGATATTTTTGTTTTCCTTTTAATGAAAGTGTGAGTACTCCTGTTGTCACTTGAAATGTGGTCAAAATGGTAACATAGCAGAGCATTGCTTGATCACTTATGAATGATGCTTTTTGGCATATTAATGTTTGGGATTTCACTCTTAATGTAGAGAAAATACTGAAATGAAAGCATATGAAATGATGGAGAGGTTTAAGCTGTTTCCAATGTTAGTGGAAAAGTATTAGAAGCATTTGAAATTCATCAGGTGCCTGATGAAAGTTTTAGGATGTGAAGTACGGTTGGTAGTTATTTATGTAATTGTAAAGACTGCCATTCATAAGATACTGGCATTTTCTGTGTGTCCCAAATATACTAACAAATAGGGAAAAGGGCTGATTTGTAGTATTTCTTCCCAATAGTGATGTGTTACTGCTAATACAGTGCAAGTGGCCCATATCATAACTTTAATAGTGTGATTTTTATTTGTGCTATGACAGTTATCTTTGGGCAAATGTTATCACTTATCAAAAAGCTGCTTGACTCTTCTAATCAAGTATCAAATTGATATGGCTAATTTTAGCAAACACTTAAAGGTGGATTAGTAAAACCACCAACAAATTTCACTAATAAAGTTGAACCCTGTTTATTTACAGGAAATACAGACATTAGAAGAATTTAGAGAAAAAAATCAGAGGCAACAGAAACTATGGGTTGGAAGGCTACTTCTCTACTCTTCTCTTCTTTACCTTATCACCTGCTTAGTTGTATATTTTTGGTGTCTTCCTGATGAATGGACAGCAAGGTTGATTATGACACTTCCATTTTTTGCATTTCCATTGATGTAAGTAAATACACCTTTTTTTTTCTGTAACTGCTGTCTCTGATAAAAGGAGATGGAAAATATATCTCAGCAGGGGTTTGGGTTTGCTTTTGACAATCCTTGAGTTGTCATAACTTGCTGAATTTTTTCTTTTAAAATAAATCCAAGTAGTTAGGCAGACACTTTCTTTGAGGGAAATGTCTCTCATGGGGGTCTGGGTTTACTGTAGAACTAAGTCTTACCATCAAAAGTTGTTAGCATCTAAAGTTACTTGGGTTATCAAAATTATACTAGGGCTAGAGAGACACCTGTATCTGAACAGCTGCAAGGTCATGTAATATGAGCAGAAGAGCATTATCTTGGGTTTTATTTCTATTGCTATTTGGAAGAGTTACACTACTATATGAAAGTGACCTAAGGTATGTTGTCTGTGTGTGTGAAATGCAGTGTATAAAATTGGAAATGGAGAAACTTACTTTTATATATTAGGTGACTGTTAACATAGAAGTGACTTGAAAGGTCATCAGCCTAAATACGTTGAGGACTAGTTCTACATAATTAGCTGTTTTTCTGGAAAATCATTGATTGATTTCTTCTACCTGAAAATATCCTAACATCATTGGATGTCAATAGGAGAAGGTGTTAATCTACTTTTTTGTTCCACTGAGCTGATTTGTTGCTTATCCTCATGAGTGGCTTTTGTTCTCTATGAAAACTTTTCTAAAGATAACAAAATGGGCTCCCACCTCACTAAACAGCTGCTTCTCTGCCTCCTCTTCTCGTAGACCGTCAAGGAGGAGAAGCAGCCTACTGAGCATCTTTCCTACCAATGGGGAGCACAGTGCATTTACTAATTTGCCGAAACGAATGTCATAAATACTATCAACGTTTGTACAGCATCTTTGTATGAAAACATGACTTGTCAGTTCCCTAGCTTTAGGCTTGAAAGGCAAAGTCAAATGTAAATATTTAAGGCTTTGCAAGATTGATTAGTGTGGGTCAGCATAACATAACATGCAAAAAAAAGTACTTGAAGATGCTTTTAGTATCTCATACTGTTATGCATAATGTACTAATATGCTGCTGTTATGGAATCCTGTGGAGAAGATACATGGGCAGCAATATCTTGACTGGAAAGGATTAATATAGAAATTAAAGCTCAAATTAATCTTTGGCAGCAACATGAATTGATTTTGCTCTTAAGGACAAGGATTTGAAAGACTTTGTTAGTAAGAGAGGCTTGCTCACGCTAACAGGGAAGGCTTGTAGAAGAGGAAGTATTACCAGCCTCCCTTCACTTCGGTGTATTAGGATTAGTGTAGAAATGAAAACTTAAACATTACTGAAGGTGATGGCTTCTAGTGCTGAGGTGTGAATTTTCACATTGGATTTTTATTCTCTAGTTTGTCCTCCAATTCTGTGGGTTTTTTTTAGTAGTGGGTTATAAAATTCTGAATTAGATATTGTTTTAACAATGTTTAGAATTAGGCTGTTGTTCTCTTATGACTTGCAACTGTTTATCTGTTTTTTTTCTCTTAAGCTATTCCCCTTCAGCTTTTTTTGGCAGATATGAATGGCAAGCAACTGCCAGCTTGTCTTTGCTCTCGGTCAAGAGGTGACTCCATGCTGAATGCCTGGTGCCACCCAGTAATAGCTCTAGAGATTTTTCAGCCCTAATCAAACTGGAATATGTCTGCCTTTTCAAGCTTGCAGTCAGTCACCAACTTATTTCTGCCTTAGGTCATTCCCTCAGGGTCTCAGCAAGTTACTGATGCTGGTAGAGTGAGTTAAGTTCTAGGAATATATAACATTAATTTTAAATTTATATTGAAATATCTGAAAAGTTGAAGAAATAATTAGCATGTTAGAAGAATGCTGCTCTTGAAATGACTTTCATTTTAATTAGATTCTGTTTCATCTTGTATGTTCTGATTTTCAGAGAAATGTTTTTATTTTGTAAAATTAGTCTGAAATAGTCTGTTAAACTTTCACATCAAAGTTCCTAAAGAGGAAATGTTTTTTATTTCATGAAGTCCTATCATATATCTATTAGCTTAGATTACAGCTTCAGGTAGAAGACTCTTTATTAAGCATATAATAAAAAAGAAATAATGCTTTTGCCTGTGTAACATGGTCTTTAAGGCAATTCAAACCCTGTAAAACATTTATTTCTTTTGATACTTTATGAAAAGATGCATCTTGCATTGTGTAAGCAGGCAAAGCCATCTGTATTCTTAAAGTAGTTATTACAGCACACCTTTGAATGTGGAATAGAGTTAAACTTCTTTCTCTCTTTCTCTGACTTTGGATAGGTTACTCTCATGTTCCAGTTGTCTAACTTAACTCATGCTGTGTTAATACTTGCAAGCATTTTGGGCTGGGAAGCCCTTATATAAATGCAAAAGATGTTCTTACGAATTAAGTCAAAACTCTATTTGAAATCTGGTAGCCTTTTGCCTGCTTTAAGCTGGTTGTAATTCAGAGAAACTTTCTAGCCTTTTTTTTTTTCTTCTTAAATGAAACATTGCAACTTTAGGCTTTATTATATAGTGCTTGGCACTAGGAGGGTTTTGGATAAGATGCTTGGAAGGACTTGGAAGTGTGAGATTTGCCACTTGGCTTAGCCCAAATAACTTGCCAGAAGTGTCAACTTAATAATTATAAGCAATTCTAAGCTTTAAAACAAATGAACTCCTGATGATTGCAGAGAGACCTTTCAAATGTAAAATGGTCATAGATCAGTTTAACTTTATCTTGAGCACAGATAAACTGCTCCATTGTTTGAGCTAAGTCAGCTGAAACCCTACGGAAACTGAGTGGATTCAGAGCTCTGTAAAATCGCCAGGAATCAGGTCAGTTAACTCTACTTGGGAGAACATTTGTACAATAGCAGTATCTCATGGTTTTCATTGGTATTGGATTCTTCCCACAAATCTCCCGGGTCTTAATTTTGGGCCTTAACTGGTAAGCTTGGTTTTCTGGATGACATGCATCATAAACCTATCGAATAAGAAGTGATGACTAAGTATTTTTCAGCTAGCTGCACATACCTCAATTTTAAAAAGTTCCCACTGAACATTTTAGCAAGTGACGATGTTACTTGCTGCTGCTGCTTCCTTAGGATTTCTGTGTGTAGTAATACTTAGTTAAATTTTAATATAGGAGGATTTTATTTAAGTCAACATTCATGTCTTGTTGACAAGATACTAATTTAATTTTTAGTTTTCTATATAAACAGTGTTTTTGAAGATTTCTGTTCTTTGTATTTGCAAAGTTAAAACTTCATCTGGTAAATCTTCTGCATTAACTATCCTGTTTGCTAAATAACTTCAAAAATGGTTACTGCAATATATTTTGATTAATATAATTCTTCTTTCTGTTTTAAAGAATCTGGTTTATAAGAACACTGCTCATTTTTTTCTTTTCCAGAAGGACAGAAAGGAATAGTAAGTATTTTTTCTGTCTTTTTTTAGAATGTGGAACTAGTTGGGAATGATGCTTGCTATGAAAATGTAAATATTTTGGATAATTCGGCTTCCAGGAAAGGCAGAGTAGCCTTTGGGTTGATGCTGAAATGGGTAGCATTTGCTAAACTGCTGTTTCTGCCACACAGTTCTTGAAAGAAAAGGAAGGAAAGTGCTTAATCTTTCACTTCACTTACAAAATTGTGGTAACTTTCTCCTGTCTTTGCATGTGTCAAAGTGTAGTAGAATAAAATGTAGTGTAGAAGTAGGAGCAAAGGAAAGGAAATATAAACAATAGTAGTAGTTCCCTTAATACTTGCATCTTGCAAGTATTCCAGCAGTCTTAATCTGTTATCTTTATGTATAAGAGATGTATAGCAGATGTGTTTAATTTATTTGTCAAGATAGCTTTTTCTCTTCCAAGTTCTCCAAAGCACACTTACATTTTCCTGAGTGGAAAAGGGATAAGCAGGTGGCTTTGTGCTGTTTTGAGAGCTAAGGAAAGCTGGGAGTCATGTAACTTAAAAAAAAAAAAGTAATGCAAGTGTTCAAAGATATATAAAAAGTTGTTAAAGAACATGCAGATTCATTCTAATGCAAAATTTAAGAACTGCATCTTTGGCACTGGTCTGCAGTAGTTAGAATTCATTTGAGACTTTCTCTGAAAGCAGTCCAGCCTGTAACAATATCTCATGGTGATGTGAGCAGTAATACAGGCAAACCTCAATGTTGCACTATGTTTTATGACTTGCAGAACAACATGATGTATTTAATTTGCGACAGCTTACGAGTTAAACATCACTTTTGGAATTTTTCTTAAACTTAATGTTTGCATTTGATATGCAAGCATAGGACATACATTTTTATGTAGAAATAAAATTGTCCATATATTCTGTGGTGCTGTGTGATTCATTTCTAAGGCGAATATATATTTGCATTTCATGGCTGTATAAAAAAAAGTGTGTATGTTTTTCTAGTTTGCTTAAATGTCTTTATTGCTGTTTTTAGCATACAGGCAATCCTGGTGCTTTTGTTGAATCTGAGTGTAAAAGGTTTTAGTAGATGTTAGAACATGGCAAAAGGAATTATTTCTGCATTATTCCAGAGATTGGGTAAAAAGGAAATGTTTAACCTCAAAGATACAAGTCCTGTATCTGGAAAAGAGAAATCAAATACATAGTGCAAGAGTTACAGCAGTAAAGCAAGAGAAGATGTAACTGAGACCAAACTGGCAACGGAGTGGCTTAAGGCTGGCCTTCTATTCCAGGATGAGTTAATATAACACATTGAGTCACTGGAGATGATTACTTAATACTATAAAGCTCTGGGCTGGATAAGCAGCATACACTGGTTTTTGGGAACCATGGACTGAATGAGGAAAATTCCTAGTGAAACAGTAGAAAAGGTGATACAGAGAGCTTATGGAATTTCAGTTCTTAAGACTGGTCAGGCAGACGACTGTTGAGGAAGATTTAGGCTAATCTGTCCCAAAGTGTGGGGGAAATAAATGAGGTATGTTGCAGGTATTGACTTCTCTAGTATGAATTCTTTTTTTTCTGTGGGTTTAATGAAGATGAGATATATTGGTTTCTTGAGAGTACTTTGGAGTAATTGCCATTTGGCCATGTTGGAAGGGGCAGGTGTTTCATGAGGCTCTTGTTGAACACAGGAGGTAAAGTGATCAGAAACAAATGTGCACACTTTAAATTGGTTGCATGGCTTTGTGGGAGGCTATGCTTGAAGATGTTCTAGGCATTTCTGTACCAAAAGCAGCTTCTGTTTCTTAAGTAACTGTTAACAGCTGACTTTATTGTGCTATTTGTGTGGCTGCGTGACACCATGCTGCATTGCAGTGCATTTCAAGGTGTTAATCTATGTGGGGCTATGTGAGAGGCCCCGTTCTAATATAAATGTAAAATTTGGTAGAGAGAAGGTACCATATGAATTTGAAGATGCGCTATCTTGTGTGGTCCAGCCCAGTGCTAAATATGGTCTTGTTCCATGTCCTATTTATCTTAACTAATAAGGGAATATTGTAGTTAGTCTTTCATTGTGTAAACTCTCAAATATGTACACACCCAGTTTTAGTATTTAGCACATATAATAAAGTGGTTTATTCTATGAAAATGGGTTTCTACATTCTGGAAGAGTTTGAGTAATTGTGTTCCCTTAATTCCAAGTAACAGTAGTGTTTCTGAAGTAACTTTAAAAAGTGTGTATAGCATACTTATATACTTTTTTGTATCTTTATTTAAATATATTTATTTAGTTTAGGTTTTGATTTTTTTCTTGTAGTTCTATGAAGCCTTTTCTTTTTTTAAAAAAACTGAAAAATGGGTCAAAATAGCTATGTCTTACAGGAAGTGAATTGCTGGTGTCCAGAAGAGCTGAGAAAGGGACAAAAGTTGTTTTTTTTAAACTCTCCTTGCTCTGAAGGAGATATTAGCAAATGGATTTATCAAGATAATATCTTCTATATTAGGTGATAGTTTATTACAGTGAGTTTCCTGTGAGTGCCAAGCCACAAGCATTAACTTAAAGGAAAATCCCATGTGCATTTGACCTTTCTTTTTCTCCTTTCTTTTAGAGAGGTTAGGTGCTGTGCCTACTAGTTGTAACACAGTCTCTTAACATTTAGTTCTAAAATGATCTTCTGGTAGCTTTTCTTACCAAACTGGGGGTTTTACTGTAGTCTGAAAGTATTGAAATGGTGAAATAAATTGAGATTTGAAGCTCAGAATTGACCTGGCATTTGAAACTAGCATGTGCTAAGAGGCTTATGTGAAATAATGAAGCTAGTAAATCTGGTACTCAAATAGATATATTAATACTTAGACCGCAGGCTTTTTTCTGTAGTTTGACTCATGAGATTAAGTGTATTTGGTCCATTGTTGTACCAGTTTTAATGTAGGTCAAAGCAGGGCACTGGCTAGAATTGGTTTGCTTAATGAGGAAATGGTACATAAAACTTTTTAATAGTTACAACAGTAAAGTGATAACAGTGGGCTATAACTTACGAGCAGTTTCAGGATTTAAAATGATTTATTTTTCACATAAAAACTTTAGTTACTTTATGCAAAGTTTACTAATGTTGTCAGGTTCGTAGTGGTCAGTGTATAATTTTTCCTGATCTTACAGGATGACGTCAATGTTTAGTGTGTGCTGAAATTCTCTTATTTATATTTGAAAACTAATGTATGATGTCCTTCTTTTAGATGATGCGCTGGAAGATTTAAAATCTCAAAAGAAAAAAATAGTAAGTAAAACTTCAAGAAAAGCTGGTTGTTATGGTTCACTACAGTGTTTTTGCATCTCTACAAGTTGAGTTTGATGGTAATATGTAGATGAAGAGTGGAGAGAGGGAGGTGAAACTATTACCATTCCTCTGTTTTCATACATTTTCTAGTACTGCACAAGGTTTTCCTTACTCCACAATTACAAAGTGCTGCTTGCATATGAAAATAAATTCTCTTTGTAGTTAAACCTACTGTTTTAGTGTTGCTAGATACTATGTAAAGTGATTCTGTTTTGCCAGAAAATGAAAATGTATGCTTTAACCTACTCATTGCTGACTACTTTACTTTGTGATTATAAAAAGCATTAGATACCACACTGATTTAAGAACATAGAGTGTAACTATAATAGTTACTCTCTCTTAATGTTTTGTTCATAAATAGCAAAAAGGACTTCGATCTTGTCCGGATTCACTTTTTCATCAAGTAACAGATTATTGTTTGTATCTTAAATGCATCACCACTTATTTCCCATCCTCCTCCATCTTACTTTTGTACTACATATTTCTTCCATTATATTCTTTCCTCTAAAAAAAAAAATAATTTGTCATGTATCAATTCTATCAAGTTGTCTGAGGTCATCAGTTTTGTAAGATGTGTGGTTAACAGTATAAAACTGGTGTATGCCAAGTATTTGCTTCAACTGGATCAACACTTAATCTCAGTAAGACAAATTTGGGGTGGAAAAGATCCCAAGTCTTGGATAAGTTACGTTCTTTGTGAAGTTTGTAACACTAAAAGCTGTTACCTCTCTACCGAATCATTCCATAAGGAAGTTCTCTATTTACTTATGTTGTTGGCTTCATCTCCTGGCTTGCAAGGCAAAACTTAAAAACCACCAAAACAAAACCCCAGTCAACCAAAAAACACACGCTTCCTTCCCCTCACAACAAAACAGCCTTTCTTCCCCCCAAAAACTCCAAAAGTTTTATTATGAAGCTTTATTGTTAATGAGTTTCTGGAATTGTTCACCTCATGCCTTCTGGATTTTGCCATGGCAGCTAAATTAATAAAAAAACCCACAACAAAACTACCAAAAAGGAGTCAGGTAAGAGTGTAATATTATGTGGGCTTTGTAGGGGAAACAGATCTCACTGATTTTTCCACGCTGTTTTTTATCAGTTTTAAAGTGTAGATGTAAAAATGGTAACCTGTAACATAGTTATGTCATTGTCCTTTGGTAAAGAGGATTTGCTAATATTTATATCTGCTAATCTTTATATTAAGGAATCTATTAAATGGAAGTGACCTTTGGTTGGAGAGGCTTATGTTTTCTGAGAAGGAAATAAATGAGTATAACTTTTTAAATTTTATCTAATGAAAATTGCTTAACTGAAATTAGTTAATCTCCTAATTCACATAGTCATTGAGTAGCTTTGGAGGGAAAGTTCTTAGAACAGAAAAATCACAATGGAGAGCAACCCAGCTTTTGGGGTCTTAAATGCAAAGCCTTCATTTCAGTTAAGTTTACATTTCTGTAATCGTGAAAATCTTCGTATTTATTCTAGAAGAACTAGTAATGCTGAATTTTTTTGTGTGCGAGAAACACTTCTTTAGAGAAAAGGCTTTGAATAAAAGATTAGTCAAGAAAAAGCTGGTTTATAAAGGGGAGAGGTTTTTTTACTTTGGGAATTGATGCTGTTGAAACAAGACGTAAATGTATTTTGCATATGCAAAAAATCAAAACAACATCGTAGAAGAGTAGGCAGTACTTAAACAACTGCACAAATGCTTTGCGAACTATATAGAAATTATAGCGTAACTATGAAGAGTTTAAACCTAGACGTATAAATTACCATTAGTATATATGCATATCAAGCTTTAATGATTAAAGACAAACTTTTAAATAGGATTAGTAAAACAGAGTTTTGGGAAGTCCAATAACCTATAACTCAGCTATTTTTCAATCTGAGGGGAATAAAAAGTCCATGATTACCTCCTGATCTTGTGGGTGCCTGGTTCCTAGCAAGACTTCTTACAACCTCCTGAATCAGTGTGGTGTTGGTATTTTTTACTCTGAAGATTGACTCAGGAGTTTCATCATAATTTAAAGGTATTCAATTAAGCATTAAAATTAGATTGTAATACATAAAACAGCATTTTGAAATGAGCTGAAAGTGGATGCAGGTAATGAGACAATGTAACCTGTATTTTAGATAAAAACACTCATAAAATTGCATTCTGTAATAATTTGGTTTTGATAACATTCAGATTTGGTTTTGTTTGGGATTAACTTCCTGAGGACTATCTGAGGCTGTGAATAACTGTAGCAATGCCTACTTTTTAGTAAAACAAAACAAAAACCTTTACCAAGTAAAATAATGGGAAGGGGGGAGGGAGAGGGAGAGGTTTTTTTTGTGTTGGATTCTGATTTGTTACTAAGTTTGCAAATAGGATTAGTTACTGAGATATTTACATTGTGATCCTCAAAGTAGCTGGAATAAGTAAATTATGTATTTCCTGTCTATTTGTAATGCAAATTGTTGTCTAGGCACTGTCAGCCTGCCACAGCAGCTATGTTTTTTCACTTATTGCAGCTCAGCTACCCGATTGCGGGAGAAATCATATATTGAAGACAATTGTCCTTTTGAAAAATGTTACAGTACTTGTGTTTTACAGACATGTGGTCCTCCTTTTCCCCCCGATGATGTTACTTACGTGCTGAAGGGTACCTATAATGGAGTAAGCTCCTCATCTACTAGATCTAATGCCCTGGTAGCTGTGCAACAAGCTACTCACTAGAACTTTGGTTCTGTTCAAAAGGCTTCAGTCTTTGGTGGCATAATCACATGTATATTCATGTGGGTAAAATACCTGACAAACACAAATATAGATACTTCATCTGGAAATGCCCACTAATGTTGTCTATCCTGTACTTTGACTCAAAGTTTGTGTAATACTTTCCACAAAACAGACTCTCTGTGCTACTTTTTTCCTAGTGAATGCTTTAAAACATGTTGAGTGTTTCTTTATGGATTGGGGGTAGGGATTAAGTTCATTAACTATAATTAAGGCACTACTTCCAAGATAGAACTTTTTTCCCCTCCTTGATCATAAGGCATACTGTGGTTGTATTTGTGACTGTGTTACTGTAATTTTGGCCTTAAGAGCTCTCAGTTAATGAGGATGTCAGCCCTTAAGCCTGAATGTATATAGATGGGCAAGTTCAGAGGGTTAAGCATATTAAAGCAAGGGCACAGGACATGTATTAAGCTGCTACAAGTGGGAATTAGTGGAGACTTTACCTGGAGCAGCAGTCTTAAAGATGGGATAATTCTTAGCCTGAGGACAGAGTTGTGAAGATAGTATAGTAATCACTTTGCTAATGTTAGAATTAAACTTTGCTGAAATTTGCTCAGCTATTCTGTTATAGTAGGCTAAGTGTAGTATTAGACTCAATCATACTTTCTAGCCATTTTGGCTAAGAATTTAGAAAAGTGCATCTGTTAATTTTCCAAGAAAAAAAAGAAGTCTCATCTCAAGGCTGCCTTGGAGTTATGTTGTTAATGGAAAAAAAAATGCAGCATGTGAATTTTGTTATTTAAAATGACTGTTTAGTGAACTTTATACCTTCAGCCTTCCAGGTGTAGAAAACTGTAGGTATTTTGATAACCTTCACTGTGTGACCAAGAACTCCACTAGGAGTTGATTGCTGTATAAGCCCAGTCTTGTCTAGCAAATATATGCTAGAGTACTGCAGGCATGCAATTAGAAGCTCAAAATATGGTTGAAAATCATGATTGAATGAGGTATTTTTTTCATGCAGTGTTCACACAAAACTGTTACTTTAGTTGTTTTACTGTTTGCATGGGTCTGTCCAGAGTACACTTTAGTGTTGTGGCTTAAATTATTTATTTCCTATTTTAAGGAATTTTTGCTATGTGTATTTGCATATCTTGTAGACTGAAATGAATCTTGTGACTTTGTGTGAACGTAAAGAAATACCTCTTCATAGTTGTCTTTGACGTACTAAGTAATTAAATTTAAGAACTCATGTGGTAGTATGGTGAATAAGTAGTTTGCACTGTGCCAATACTTCAGACTTCCAGTTGCTAACTTGCATTTACAAGAAGCTTAAAATACATTACTCATAATACTTTTGAGTACAGGCAACTGATGATGTTGCCACAGGAATTCTGTTTGGTTGCCAGTTGGAAAGGAGGCCATCCGTGCAATTATTCATAGGAGAGAATGTGGTACATGACCATGCTTCTTTATTAAGATGTGGTTAATTCCATGAAATAAGTTTGAAAAAGCCACGATTAGGCTGGTATTAACTTTCTTGGAGACTTCACTTGTGATCCTGGTTACTCAGCATTTAACCTCGATAATAATAGACTATGAATAAGCACTTGGCAGAAAGTAGAAAATGTTTTTGTGGGAAAAGTTTTGGATCCGAGAAGAGTATATTATGGAAAAAGAGCAGGAGATGTTGAGCAATATGCTGCCTTAGCAAGCCCAGTGCTCAGCACTAGGTTAACCTTTCCAAGGTTATGCTTCAGGATGCAAGTGATTCAGAAGTCCAGTATGATGTGCATTTATAAATTAGTTTGGTGTGGCAGTGCACAAGCTGGTTTCTTCTGCTATGCAAATGTAGAGATAATATTTAATTTTTACACAGGCCCTTATTTGCTTCTGGTAATTATACTAATTTTGCTCAAAGAGTAAGTAAACTTTGACCTGTTTGATTCCTTATCTGGTATTGTCAGCCAAATTTAAATTGGTTTCGCTTCTAGAATACATTTCTCTAAAAATCATGAGAACTGTGAGTGTGCTTATAGAAATCTTGACAATTTCTATACATTTTAAAGAAATTTGTAAAGAGTCAGTTGTGGAACTGAATTCTTGTTCAGATTCAGCTTTACTAGAATTATAAAGCTATAGATGAATTTCAAAATAAGAGTAATTATCCAGTAACTGTAAAATGTGAAGAATAACTTGTGATGAGAACTAAATTTTTCCATTTCAAAAGAATGTTATTGTTTTTGCAAAACTTACATATCCACAAATAACTACCACCCTATCTAATACTGCTATAGCCAGAACTGTGTTAGATAAGGAAAGTGTCAAGTGATGGTGGAGCATTCTGTTTTTTTTTTCCTCTTCCTAAAGGTCACTTTGTCCTGCAGAAGAGTATTTCTCATTTTTCTGTGTGGCTTTAAAGACAATTGCCTGCGTTATGTGTTCATTGATGTAAAGTGACTGGGGTTTTTTATTTTGATTTGGTGGCCAGATACTGACACTGACTGTTAATACTTCCCCACTCTGCAGCTTCACCTGACTAGCCTTTCCCCTTCATGTAAAGGTCTGCCTTATGGTTTTCACTTTTATAAGCAATAAATACTTTGTTTTTCCTATTAGACCCTTATTTCTGATCTTGCTGCACTGTGTGGCGTTTGTTTTACAAAGTTAGTGGGTTAACTCCAAAGTCCTGTTGAAATACAAGTTTAGGAAATTGATTTTTACTTCCCTTTTCACTCCCTTTTGTTTCAACAGTCCTTAATTAACAGCCTGGGTAGTATTCCTTGCCTTAAACTTCTGGTAGTGTGTGTAGGAGTGAGCTGTTAAATGAATACTGTGCATCCATTAAAATGAGTGAATTTTATTTAGCTTCTGAGGTCTATTCCTAATTCTGAGGTCTGTCTAAACGTAAAACCCCTACAAGGTCTGTATATGCAGAATTCTTGCTAGCTAAATAACGGTCTAAAATCATGTTAATGTGCACCACTTACTATTTTAGCAGTGATAAATGAGTTTGAGAGAACTTAATTTTTTGACCACTAACCTTTTCAGTTTTGCAGTTTATGCCAACAGCAAACTTAAGAACAAACAAAGCCCCCACTTGTAGCTGAACGTGGCCATTAGTCAGCATATCTAGGAGAAAAGGTCTGCTTAAGATACTGTAAAATGCATTCTAATTTCTTTACATATTAGCTGTTTGTCATAACTTCAGCTATCTTCGTTTTAAAGTTAAGCTTCTGATGTTGGCTGTTAACCACTAAAATGATACTTTACTAGTGATTACTTTTTTAATTAAGCCCATGTATTAGCTATAAAGCCACTTGAGTGCATTGTAAATAAAACGCTGTAATAATGAAGTGCTTTAATTACACTCCCTAAAGTATGCATAGTTCTCAGTAAATTTTTTATTTAAATTCTTACCGTGTTCCCTTTTTTCTGAAAAGCAGTTTGAATAGCTGTAAAGATGGAGATCCAGCCTTTAAAGTCATTTGAGCAAATTCCATGGTTATTCTCTAGTTAGTGAGTTTTCACAGCATTTGCAGCAAGCTAATTGCTTCTGCTAATAAATAATCTAAAATCGATGCTGACAGCAGTTAATTGGCACAGAGACTTTATTCTGTAAAGCACTTGGCTAACGACCTTCCTTAAATTAATAGCATTAAGTGCTATGAGGAAATAAATCTAAGGAATTGCCTGTCATTCGCTTGTCATGTCTAATAACTTCCAATAATGATGGCTGATAGATTTTTGCACATTCCATTATTGAAGTTGGTGCATGTAATTATTCTCCTCATTATATGTAAACAATTAGCAATATTTGGTGTTTCCTTGCAATAAAGCTGTTAAATACAAGTAGCCCATTAGAGTTTAGAAACTATTTTTGAAAGCAAAATTTAATTTCCATTGAATACAGCAAATTCGCAGGTATCTGAACTTGCTACTGGTTCATTGGACAGAGCATCACCTTTTGGTAACATTAATAAGCTGCTTGTAAATGGGAGGATATGGGGGGAAAATTCTTTGAAGAATTCTGTATTGATGTGTGGAACTCTTTCTTTCCAGCTTGAGGAAGTAATGGAGAAGGAAACATACAAGACTGCTAAATTAATCCTTGAAAGGTTTGATCCAGAATCAAGTGCAAAGGTAAGAATCTTGGTATTGATACTGATGTAATATGAAAGGTACTATGGAGCCAAACATTCGGATAATGTTATTTATAATTAATTGGCAGGAGGCTGAACTGCCATCTGCTGGAACACCTGCAACCCCAAGACCCGGACAAGGTAATAGCCCTGTAAAATGGCTGCTCTTTAGCATAGGTACTCGTCTTTCATAGCAATTTCCACTCTAGAAGTCTCTCTATGATAAAATTTGTAGATCAATTGACCTTTATTTAGGGTTAATAGACTGTTTATTAGACTATGCCCATTACTGTTCTGTATTTTTCAGACGAGATGTATTGCTAAAACCTGATGCTCTTCTCAACAGCAGCATGTTTAATGCTGCCTGATGCTAAAGCAGAAAGAAAATTAACTTGTGGCATACTTGCAATTTTTCTAGGATGCTAAGGTGCTTTCAAATCTTACGTAATGTTCATTGACTTAGCTTTTCAATTCTGTTTCTATTTCTGGCTAGTTAAACCTTTCCTAATTCAGTTCTTAAACTACTTTTATATGGTGGATAGAGAGATTCCGCAAAGCTAGTGCAGAAATCAGATATTTTCTAGATGCAAAGAACAGACAGTTCTTTACTAATGATGTTCCATTTAAAGGTGCTATTGAATAAAATAAGAAAAGAAATAGAAAAAACTTGCATGTGTTTCAAGGAAGCCTTGTTTTGAGATTGCACACGCAGGTTTCAAGACTGAAAAGATCTCACCCCCACACTCTCCCAGTAGATTGTTTGCATTAAAAATGTGGACTGTGTACAAGCAAACTACTGTTAAGTCTTTCTTAAACTTTTCTTAAACTCAAGTATAAAAAGCTGTAGTTAAACTACAAATGCTAATATTAACACAGTATAAAGGCCACTTTGTATTACAATACTGAAGATACCCACAAAGAAAGTACTAATTTGCTGTTATAACCACTTTAGACCTGTAGGGGCTGGTGCTCAAAACGAACTGCAGAATCTGATGTGCATAACTTTCCCTAAAATAAACAGATTGCTTTAGAACATATATTAGCGTTATCAACTTTGTGTCTAATTCTTGCAAGTAACCAAACTTTTATTTGGCTTATTTTCTGCTCTTGGGGTTCTGACTTTGATGGGTGCAGAGAATCTGGATTTACTAACAAAGGTGTTATAAGGTGCATGGTCAAATCCACTGTTTTGTTTTTGCCTAGCTTCAGATTGCCATAAAAACATTTTTAGCCTATCCTTACATGTTGATGTTGACAGTGAGTAGTTGCAGTGCAGGACGTTAGCAGTAAAGCTTTTATCTCTTCTGGTATCCTAGGCACAACAGCTTTTTCTCAATTTGCTCCTTACCTGTCTCTCCTATCATTCCATTTCTACTGCATTCATAGGGTGTTAATTTTTAAGGTTGAAGGGCCATTCTGATACCCTATTCTGTTCTCTGTCTTCATATGACTCATGGGTGGTTGCCAAGAATTTTCTGTTATACCTGTAATGTTTAGGTAGTCTGGTTTTTTGGTGATTTTGTGTTTGTTTGTTTTTAACTCTACTTATCCTTCTCCTTGAGATGTGTTGGAAATCACCCCAGAAGTAGGGTGACAGATCTGTTTGTAGAATGCAAGTAATGCTGACCAGGAAATGAAAGTGCCTGGAAATGTGTGTTTCTGTGTAGAGATAACTAGCTATAAATTAAATAGACAATGAGAAGTCTTTAGTCACCCTGGGTTTATTAAGAGAGATCACCAGCATTTTTTAAACTCCTTAGGAGTTATAGGATTGTTCTCTTCCCCTCTGCCCAGGCTGTGTAAGTAGTAATGGTGACAAGTGAGTTGCTCAGTCTCTATTAGTTAACTAGTCTCATGTGTGTTTGGGTTTACCCAAATGTGTGTGCTTTTGATCCAGGTTCCTGAGTTAGTCAAAAGTAGGTTAGTTGGATCCAGCATATGGTGTGTCATGTTGATTTTGACTTGAAAATTAATAGAAGGGCTGTGAGGGAGAGGTTGAGAGTGAGAAGTATTTCTGAGCGCCTAGGAGTAGATTAAAGAGTTGTTGCTGAGGAGTTTGCCCATGCGATGTATGTTTAGGGGTTTTCATTTAGGGCTAGCTATAAACTGGACTCGTGAACCTGGTGGAGGGCATATTTCAGTTTAGTTTCACTTGAGAAGAACGTAAGAGCTGCTCTCCAAGACTGTGGTGTCGGGTGAACCAGAGATCTCTATGTGGGGACACAATTGAGAGAATGTAAAGGACACTTCTGATTCAAACATTATTCAACTTTTTTGGGTGCATCCACATTAAAGTAAGCAATTTACTTTATCCTGAATAAAAGTGCAGTTTAGTCTTGGCAAGAATTTTGGAAAAAACCTTTGTAAGTTATCATGCTTTACACTTGGATTTGATAATCTTAAGGGTCTTTTCCAGCATAAATGATTTTATGATTCTATGTGATTTTGTTCATATACAGCACAACTTCCTTTTTTTCCTTTTCCAATCTGGTCTCTAACACATAGAATTTAGAATCGGTGCTGCTTTTTTGTCCATGTAAAAGTAGATATTCAGACTATTGTATTTTGTAGATGCCTTATAGTTCAGGAGGAACATACTGTGTTTGACTTCAGTTTGTGAAATTGTGGAGACTTTCTAAATAACCTGTACTTCGTATGTGCAGTAATTATTTCAAACTTTAGCTATCAGAAATACTAGCTTATTGCTGCTCATGCTAAATAATATCTGCCCAAAACAAATACCAGCTTCTGTGCAGTATATAACTTACTGTAACTAGATGATACCTTAACATGGTTGTGGTGTAATTTGGTGTATGCAATAAGTGGTAGAATTATAGTGATTGGGAATAATAAAATATCTGTTAACAAGTTAACATTAAAGCTTCCTTGGTTTTTTTGCTCACTTTGGACACAAACTAGCCAGGCAGCAGAACTCATTATCTTGAGCTCTGTAATTGAGTCTTTAAGAGGGTAAATAACGACCAATGTCCAATCTGATTACACAATGTTGCATATGAGGCAGCTGATGAAAGGTTAGTAAGTAAGTTGGTATGTTTTTGACTTACCAGTTAAAATGGGAATTTCTACATCATGCTAATTAGTAGATTCAATCAGCATTACATTGCTCAGAAAAGCAACTGGTAGCACCCAAATTTTCATATGTATTTAGCTCTTTTTCCACTTTTTGTGATTTGGACACACACTTCTTAAGTAATTGTAGTTCTAACAGATGACTTAAATGAATCTGGAGTTTGGCATAAAAAACATCTGGAAATCCAGAAGGAAAGGAATTTAAAAACTGAAGTGCAATTTTATCTATTCAGAAATGTTTTGAGGGGTAGAGTTAATGAACATATAGTTAATCAGTACTTTGGCTATGTGAGGAAAAAAAAAAGGTAATTGTAGAATAATAAAATACCAGGTTGGAAGGGACCTCAAGGATCATCTGTTCCAACCTTTCTTGGCAAGAGCTCCGTCTAGACAATAGCATTGTCTAGACAAGATGGCCCAGCAGCCTGTCCAGCTGAATCTTAAGGGTCCAATGTTGGGGAATCCCCCACTTCCCTGGGGGGATTATTCCAATGGCTGATTGTTCTCATTGTGAAAAACTTTCCTCTAGAGTCCAGTTGGAAGCTCCCCAGGGTAACTTGCACCCATTACCCCATGTTTTTTCCATGTGACCCCTTGTAAAAAGGGAGTCTTCATCTTCTTTGTAGCCACCCTTTAAATACTAGAACATGGTGATGAGGTCACTCCATAGCCGCCTTTTCTCAAGACTAAACAAAACCAATTGTCTCAGTGTTTCCTCATATGGCAGGCTTACCATCTTTTGATCATCATGGTGGCCCTCATCTGTACCCTCTCTAGCCTATCCACATCTCTTTTGTATAGTGGGGACCAAAACTGAGCACAGCATTCCAAGCATGGCTTGGCAAGTGCTGAGTAGAGTGGGATAATGACTTTATCTCCCTTGTTGATACAACCCAGTATCCTGTTGGCTGTCTTTGCTGCTTTGTCAGTGGAATAAATATTTATCAACAATATCCTGTTGATGATATGTTGTTGATACCTGCTCCCTTCATTTTGCTAATACAACTGTTAGCAGGTCACTCCATGACCTGAATTAAAAATCATGCAATAACAGATGGATGCAAGTTGTGAGATGGGCATGAGGAGGAAGAAAGAAAACTCTTGGTTGGTCTTTGCCACTAAAGCCAACAAGTTATGTGAACTATATTTTGACCTGCATTGTGCTCTAGCTCTTTAAAAATGATGAATTCTTCTCTACAAAAATCAAGGGATTTTGAAGTGAGGGAGAAATAAAATAGTTATGCTTGTAAACATGAAAGATACAGCTGTCTCACCACAGGCAATATCTTGATATTCTTTAAGAGATCATACTGAATCATCAGTTGTGAGTAGTAGCCCTGTTAAGTAATGTGTCTGCTTACGTATCTGTACTGTTCAGTGCTGGTAACTGTAGAATTTGTACTCCAGTGTGCTTGAAGAAAAAAAATGTTCTATTTTTAAATTATTTATCTTCATATAGTTGGTTTGCAGATGCACAAAAGTCATTCAGGGAAGAAAAAACCTTGGAAGACTGCAAAACTTCATTCAAACTACATCAGCAGTAGCTGTATATTGTGTTAGCATTGAGACTTGATGGACATGTTACTCGGTTAACTTGTGGAACTTGAATGGAAGTCTGGAACTCTGCAAGAGGCTCATTCTTAATGCATTGCATCTCAAAATAGACAATTTGAGAAGTATATAGATCATATCCAGTTACTGCAGAGAATATTAGGGCTGCTATTGTGGAAGCAGACAGCAGGTTTAAAAGGCATTAGAGTTGTTCATGGGCAACAGGGTTTTAGCATCCATATGTGATGCTAAAATGATTAGACAGGCCTGTACTTTCTAACGTCCCTGACAACGTGTTTATGGATCCTGGGGATGGTATCAGAGATGTAGGCAACAGAAAGCATTCAGATTTGTGTGTTGTCATTAAATAACATCTACAACCACTCTAAGACATGAAATACTGGGATGGATGGGCTGTCGGGCTTGCCAAGGAGAGCATTTCTCTTTCTCATAATGTAAATTCTTCTGGTAACTTCTTTTACTTGGGGAGCAGCAGTGTTGGCAAGTTTTTTTTTAAGTATGAAATAAGAATAGGATAAAAGCCAAGTGAACTTCTGAGTGGAGGGGGAGGAAAAAAAGCGCCTTGTGAATAACCTGATATCATTTTGTGGAAACTAGTGATGAATCTTGCATTCTTATCTCCGTAATGAGACTAAAACTACTGAAGCACATCTCTCTAATACTGACTGTAAAGTACTTAGGCTCAACATCTTTGTAGAGGCAAAAATATGGGAAAAGAGTAATTAAAGTAGCAGTAACTGTTTAAAAAATGGGAAGTCTTTTTAAAGGTGGCTTGCCAAAAATGACTCTTCAGAAAGAACAGACAAATGGGCAAAGCTCTTGCAGGTGGCATGGAAATTGCTTAGGAATAGTGTATTATGGGCTCAGAATAAACATGGATCTATCCATGGCCCATCAAAACAGACTCTGAGCTGTTAAGCAACCAAAATTGACATGCTTAAACCACATGATATAGGTAGAAATTATAGTCATGATCTTTGACATTTTAATATGTAAAACCATAATAAAGCAGGCTTTGTAATGAAAAAGAATGACGAAAATCTTAACAGTGGATTTAAAATGTCTTTAGATATTTAAAGTAATCTTGGAACAAGTAGAGTAGGCTTCATGTTTATCACTTATTTTTTAAAGATCTGTGAAGCTGAGTTGAGAAATTGCATACCTTTACTTTGATTTTTTTGGAACTAGTACATGAGTGGAAACTATAACACAAACTTGAAAATATGGATAAATAAAATATGGATAGATAAATCATGAGTCAGAATCAATATATTGTTTGTAGATGAGTCATGCCTTTTGGTCAGATGGTACGGAGAGAATGATGCAATTATTCTAGTGTAGTTAGACTTGAAAGTTTACTACTAAGGTCTCTCACAAAAAGCTCTCAAAGAAATGTCACTGGTGGGTTTCATTGTAAATGAATTCTTGATTAAAATGCAATTTTCAACACAGGAGCAGTTCTCAAAATAGAAACAAGTCACCAGTGAAACCTTAAAGGAATTTCTGCAACTACCTCACCAATTTGTCCTGGTTTCCAGATTCTGAACAGTTTAAATAATGAGGGGGGGAAAAACTTTGTTTGCTAAAATCAAGTTAAAACACAGAATCTTCATATTTATTGGGTGATCTAACTTGGATGATAAAGTTGTGTGAAGTACATGCACATGAAGAACCATGCACATGAAAGTGTGGTGGGGAAAATTAGTAATTTGTTCTTTGTAGGAAACTGAACTAGGTGGATTTTTAGTAAGACTTTGTGGAGTTGTAGTCTTCTAACTGGTGATACCAAAGAGTTTTTTATTTTCTTCTGGTGTATGATAATCCTTATTTATATGTGAGGATAAGCAGGCAAGAACATAGCCTACGTATGTTGCAATTTCATGGTGCTAGATGTTGGGCATTTTCCAACAGAACTTTTGTGTTTGACCTAGTACTCTAGTGATAGCAACTCCTTCTTAGCTAGTGTAAGCTGATGTCGCGCACTCCCTGCCTCCCCCAGCCCATACAGAAGCTTGGCGTGATCATGCTGCACTTTCAGGGACATGGATCACTCCTTCAGACTTCAGCACACCTGTCTTGCTGTGGCTGGGTCCAGTGGACCTGTGAACTGCAACCAGGATTTAAACTCTTCCAGCCTGACACAAAGTCAGCAGATAAAAACCTCTCTAATCTTGAAACTCAGGGAGGTGAACTTAAAGTCCAATTCTAATGTTAAAGTCCACTTGTGAAGGAAATCAAGCAAGCTTGTTCAAACTCTTGTGGGTGCTAGACACTAACTCTATAGGGTACTACCGCCTTAGGTGTAGGTGTTCTTGGGGTGTACCTTTTGGAGACTAGGCTGTCACATGTTAACCGTGTTAATGTCCGCAGCCCTAAAGTGAGGGTTACATTTCAGTTTGATTTGTTGCAATAGTGTATCTCAGAGGCTCCCTAGGGATGATTAGGTACAGATGAGAAATAGATGATAGTGACTGCTGTTCCTGAGCACTGTTCCTTGCTTGTTTTGGGGAATGGAACTTCAGATTTGCGTGGGTATATCCAAACCATAATATATTACTGGGATATTCCCATTGGTGTTAATGAGAACTCTGGCTTCAGGTAAGAATAACTGAAGAAACCTATTAAGTTTTTCATAATAAGGAATTAACAGTAGGTCTGGTAGTGGACTGAGAAGTGGTGAAAGTAAGGATGTATTCCAGCAGAGCCTGTTCTTGCTTCGTGTCAGTCCAAGCATGTGGCTTGTTGGTAGTGTTGCTGAAAAAAGTGAACAAAACTATGTAATCTGAATGAAGCATTAAGTTTTCTTCTGGCTTTAGAATTGTTTCACTTATCCAAACTGTAAATTTTTTTAATAACTCTGAGCACTAGCCTGGATATTTTAGACATTGACCAAATGGTTTTTGGTCCTATGGAAAGCTAAATACTTGGGAGCATGTTTAAACCATAGAGTAGAAACAGTGGTCACTTCTGTCTGAACATTGTGGTTTGAATCTGTTCGTATCTCCCACGTTCTGCCTTAATAGGAACAGAATCATAAAGTAGGCATCTGCTAATTTTCTTCTAGAAGAATTTTCTCCTAAGTATTTAGCAGTTAATGACTATTAAAACATAGTATTCTGTGTGGGGTTTATTTCCATGGCATGCTCTGTCAGGCAGGTGGTGATCTTCAGTTATAGAGCTATGTGGTTTTGACTCTGTAATTTGTTGATTGGAATAACAATATTAATGTATTCTTACTAATCTCTTGCTTATAATGCTAGATGTTAAATTCATTATGCATGTGTTCTTGTCAGAAATTCGACAGAGGACTGCTGCTCAAAGAAATGCTGCTACGCCCCCACCTGTGACTCCTAAACAGGGCTCTCCAAAATCACCCGTTTCAGCATCTCCTAATCTGCAGAGAGATGCACCAGCTCTGAGTGGACCCCCAGAAAGAACTACTGTGCCATCCTTGCAGTCAAATGTTTTACCAAGGCGCCCCGGATCCCCTGCTACTTCAGTGCCTGGAATGGGTAAACAGAGCACTTAATGTTATTTACAGTTTATATTGTTTTCTCTGGTTACCAATAAAATAGGCCATTTTCAGAGAGTATGGAAATGGCATTTCATTTGGAAATAGCAGAGCAGTTATCTGATTAAGCAGGAGTTCCATATTCAATTAGCCATAACTCTTTACAGCTGGCACCTTTTGATGCTGAAACCTATTGCCTGAGCTCATTTAACTGTTATGGCTTCTTTGTTTAAATGGCAATAAAACTTTGCAGTATTCTGTAGTCAACAATATAGCATACCTTTTTATGTTCTTAGTTTAGAAGAGCTCTACACTTATATAAATCAGGTACAGAGGAGAACACTTTCAGAATACATTCATGTTTCTTACTAAACCCTGCACATATTTTTTAACATGCATCTTGACATTTATTTAAATTTTTACTCTAGGAGGTATAGTCATGCAATCCATACCCATAGATTAAAGTGTAAAATACCAAATACACCAGAAAAGTTGTCCGTGTTGTATCAAAACAACAATGAGATTTTAGAATTCAGCTACAAGAGTCAAAAGTTTAGCAACAGGTTGAGATCTGATAGAATGAGTGTTCCTTAAAACTTGGTTTCATATCCTGAAAATGCTTTTCCCTTGATTTCTGTCTTGGTGTTCAGATGATGATCATGAGCAAAATTCCATAAGAGGGATAGCAAAATTTGGGAGTTTTGGGGGGAGGCGTTCTCATTCTCCTCATGGGTGGAGAAGCTGTGTATGGGTTAGTGCCAGGCCTTTCATTTGTTGCAGGATGCCTGGCAAGTTGGATCACAAGGCAAGAAAGGAGATGAAATGCTGTCTTGAAAATAGAAGGGATGCAACTTGCCAAGAATCTTCTGAGCACCACTGTAATGTGGAGTAGTTCTTTGCTCTTTATACAGTGATAAAAAATATTTTTCTCTGCCCTGTGTTCCTGATTTTTAACTTAAGTCTTACAAACTGTATGTCCTTGCTTACCAGCTTGGATGATACAATCTAAAACTAGGACTATACACAATATATTGACACGTGGTCTCCTGATGTAAGATCTTGGGGAACTGAATGTTAAAATGCCTGTTTGTATTGTTTAGTGTAGTGGAATAAACTTGTCATTGAAAGTTGTGATCTCTTGCTTCTCTGCAGAGTCCATTAAGCCTTATTTTTTGTTAGTAATTGTTTACCTGTATTATGAAACTCCTAAATTTGTTTTTATCCCTGAAGTGAACTGTAAAGGCAAGTTATTAGTAAGTCTTGATTATCTTGAAGTACCAGAAATCAGCTCCTTGCACCAGGAAATTGGTCATTTGGTTACAAACAACGTTTACTGAAACCCGCTTACTGAAAATTCCTTAATGAGTTTAAAATCACATGCTCCTTGTTTAAGAAGCTGGCTATATAATAAAATAATATTAGCTGTATAACAGTTTTATTCTTAGGGGATGATTCAGGCACATTGAATAAGCTGGATGAAATTCAGTCTTTACTCTAAAAATGGTTTCGAGGAAGAAGGAAAAAAAAATAATGGACTTGTTTGAAAGGACAGTTCCCAAGCCTGTTAATTAAATTTATTTAATGTAGTTTTTTGTGATAATGCTTTATAGGCATATATTTTTTCCCCACTAATAACTCTTATTTTAACTATATGTGTTAGCTTGTTGTAGATAGCAATGGAAGCCACTGCAATTGTCAGTTAATGTGGAAACCCTGTTTTCTCTTGAATTTCCCCAAACCTTCTAGGCATATAAAATCTCAGTCATGTAGCTGTAGTGAAACGTATGTAAACTCATGTATGCATCTATAAGAGTAATATCATTGCATCTAAGTTTATACATGGCTTGCAACAAATATGAATAGCCTTAATTACCTCTACTTTACAGAAGATTAATAATTCATTTTCATTATACTATATTTTCTAGAGGAGAATCAATTTAATGTGCATTACCACAGAGCTCCCATATGTTTGAAAATTAATAACCAGCAGGTAGTTGAGAGTTTGCCAAGCTTTGCAGAAATGACCAGTCTTTCTACAATGATTGCTTTTGATGTTTATATTAATTACTGGTGTCCATAACAGCATGAGAAGTAAGGTGGTTGGTTTGAGTTATTAGTAGGCAGGTAATTGAAGTTGTTCTTGGAATGTGTTGTGATGTTTCATTCTAGGTAACTTAATTTAATTTTTACCTTGTTTATTAACTTCTAGAAACTTTTCATATCACTGGTGATACACAGGTCATATGAAAATTTGGTCTTCTGAATAAAAGGCTAAATATATGTTTGAGTGTTAGCCAGGTATTAACAAAATTATGCTAGAGTTTTAATTTTATAATATCAGTGCTCCAGTTCACACCTATGTCAGACACTGTCCATTCACTTTTTTAATGGTTTTAATGGAAGTATTGGGTCTTAAAGTTTTTTGTGAAGCTTTAGGAAATGCATTTTGCATGAACTCTTCTCTGGACAGCTTTTTTAGAATTTATAAAATGAAGCATTAGGTCCAGTTTATGTTGCTTTGAATTTGTTCTGCCTTGCTGCTGTGAGAGCTTTCTTAGTCTGGGTTCCTACTTGTTGACAGAATGCAGGAATAATTTGGGCATGCATTCGCTGATATCTCCTGAATTCAGTTCTTATTTGTGGAAATGAGGATTATTTTAAAAACATTTGTGTTGAGCCTGAAACTTTTGTGCTTATTGAAGGATTGTAAATCGTGGTATTTTCTGATCAAATTTTATTGTGCTTGTAAAGATTAGGACAGTCCATTTAGGTCAATTATCCACTATTGATGAGAGGTGTTCTGAAAGGCTTTGCCATTAGAAATACACGACCTGAAGAGCAAGATTAGTTTCATTCTATGTGTAGCAGTTGGAGAGAGCGCTGCTGAAAACGTTTGAATCCTACAATGTTTCTGACACTTGCTGTACAGGATGGAGGTTGGGTGTACATGGCATTCAACTTGACGTTTACCTCAAGTTAGCACATTCTGCCTAAGTTAACCCTTTCCTTTGTTGCTGCAGTCTGTGAAGGTTAAAATGTAGAAGGCTTGAGATGGTAATTGCTGGCAGTTACATTTAATGCTGTATTTAAACTTAAAGCCCATCTTGCATCAGTTTATCAAATAGTATGACTTGCTGTGTTGTCTTTGCCTTTAAGGCAAAGGGGTACATGTTACTTCCGTGCATTTGTTTATGAAAGAGAAGCAGTTGCGTTGGAAGCAATGACTTTGTGAAGCATGTCCTGGTGCTGTCCTCAGCTAAGGTGCTACAAGAAAGCTAAATCTGTCTTCTGAAAAACTTGAAGTCTGCTGTTTGTTTTTTTTTTCCATTGTATGTTTCAATTAAATGGCCTTCTGAATTATTTCAACTTGCTAAGAAACTCTACTATCCTAGTAGTCCTTTATTTGGATTTTTTTTAAAAAATCCTTTTTGCATCTTCAGACAGTGGATTTAGTTTGTTTTACCCTTTAGCTTCCTCTTTGTTTATTGGGCATTAAGGGGGATTCTGTGAAACACATCTTCCCAAGAAAAATACTGTAAGCATACAGCAAATTCAAAAGAGGATTGAAGGCTGAATCTGTGATCACTAAAAGCCTTTCTTCTAAGCCATGCCTTTTGTGTATCTTTTTACTGGATATAGTGAGAATAGCTACAAGCCAGAGCTTTTCCCTGAGAAAACACTGGTCACTTTTTGTGCCTTGAATTTTACTTCTATGAATTAAATTTACTTAGTTCTCTTGCACTGTTTCAAATTACCATACGCTTATCTTGGTACAAACCCTGCTGATCTTAATTGATTTTTTTTTCTGTCTAACGGTCTTAACTATCTTGAGCTTGGATACTGACTTTTGCATTATGACAAGTAATTTTGTTGTTGGGTTAAACTGAGTCTTACCTGTCAGGTTTCGTAATTTTGCCTTCAGGCAGCTTGAAGTTGACCATTTTGTCCCAGTTTCAGAGTTCTGAAAGGACTGATTTGTTATCCTACTCAACCATCCTTTTTCGTGGCTTTTGAATGTAATTCATAAAATATATGGAAATACATTTTAAGTCTTCCTCCCCCACACTAGTGCTGACTTAATTATCTCGCATTCCAGACTGTCTGGTATCTATTTGTTGAAAATACTGTAACATAATACTTCTTGTGCTTGTGTAAAATGTCTTTTTGCCAGGAGTGTGGCCTTGGGAAGGTGTTTCAGATACTTAATTATTTGGGTGTAGCTTCTTACCAAATCGTGTTTTGCTCATTGTGCCTAGCAGCTTCGGTTTCAAGGTTGAAAAGGAAGGCAGACAGAAGAACTCAAAGCTGAATAAATGGAACTGGGTAGCTTGCAGTGGTCTTGTCTTTCCACAGTGTTTTAAAACATTTGGTCTATTGTACAAGTTGGTGCCACTGGTCTACTTTAACTGCCATATGTACACAGAGGTAAAAACCCAACTATTGCTGTTACTGGCTCTTAATGGAGTTTTATTTTGATAGTAGTTTGTTAAATACGTGGGGGTATGGCCTTCTGGCTTCTTAGACTAAGTGTAAATCTGAAAGTATCCAACTTTCCATTAAACATGAGATTACCAAAATGCCAAATGATTGGAGAGGTTTAATGTGTAGACGGAATGAACACTGAGGACATGCTCCTGTGGTATAGTAGTTACACAGAAACCAGTAGATGCTTCTTTGGTAACATCTTTAGTTCTACTGCTGTAATTGATTTTACCACATTTATTGGTGTAAACCTGAATTGTTGAATATGCAGAGTTGAGTCTATATGAAGAAAACTCAAATAAGGAGTTTTCCTTTGCTTAAAAAGTCTCTGTTTGTGAGTAATCATTAGATACCATTGATGCCTTAAGTTCTTTAGAAATTATAAATTTAATTACATATCCATGGTGTAAAAGTAGAGTGATTTGATAAGATTCTAAGCTAAAGAAGAGGAGGAACTTTCAACTATTGTGGGTTTAAAAATCTTACAGCTTTCCTAGTGGATTAAGAAATATGGCCATGTATATTAAGTGAAATATCAGATTATATATAATAATATAGTTTGAAATAATTTTGACATAGTTCTTGTCTTCCTAGGCCTTCATCCTCCAGGCCCTCCTTTAGCAAGACCTATTCTTCCTCGAGAAAGAGGAGTTGTGGATAGAGTTATCGAATATTTGGTTGGCGATGGTCCTCAGAACAGGTAAAACATTGCTAAAGGGAATACCTAAACACTTAAGATATAGGAAGCTTCTTAACCTTTCTCTTTAAGCCAGATGTGTCAAGGTTAAAAGAATTGCAAATTAATTTGTCTGATATGATGATATGGCTTCATAATGATATGGCTTCACCTGAAATATCTTTGTAGGAAAAATGGTAACATTTTGACAAAATTAACCTCCACTTTGGGTTGTATCAGGCATATGATACGAAGAGAAAAATCTATGTTGAAGTAGATGAATTAATTTATATTTTGAACTAAAAAGAAATTATCTTAGCACTTAAGCTTTGTTACCATTATAAATGCTTTTAGATTGCCTTCAGAACTGTCCAAATATGTCAAGACTTCCATATTATTTTTCATATTGACTGTATTCTAATGAAATATAAACTTAATTTGAATGTTATTTTCTGACAATGATTATATTAAAAATATGTTAACCAATGAGATTTAAATTGTAGCTAAGAATATTTCACTGTTTAAACTAACTTTAAAAGCTATTACTTAATATATAGATTTGGTTACTTTAAAGGATAATTCACTGTGGAAATTACCTTTTAAGAGTAAATACCTAAGCTATTAGTCAATATCTAAGGTAAAATGCATCTCACTTCAGTGTGTTATTACTTAAAGGTATATAACTATATAATATGTTTTCTAGGTATGCCCTTATATGTCAGCAGTGTTTTTCTCACAATGGTATGGCTTTGAAGGAGGAGTTTGAATACATAGGTAAGAGCTAATCTGTGGTAGACTCTAGTGGTTGGCTTATGTTTCATAACTAACATGCATCATACTTCGTTTTGGTTGCAGTTAAGTACTTAACTGACATTGTGAAATGCCACTTCATACAGGAACAGTTTCATGGTAACTTATTACTCTGTATCTTAAGATTCACTTCAAGACTTAGAGAAGTACTTTATTGCAACCTTCAGGCCAAGGATTTTATGTGTAGAAAACTATTCAGTAGAAATAAGTCTCCTCCAATACATCCCTGAGAATTGCTACTGGCTATGAATGGTTCTCAGAAGGGTTTTATATTGAGAAACTATCTGACATTAAAGTGTGCCTCTTTTACCAGAACTTAAACAAAATTTTGCTTTGGCAAGAAGATCTTGGGGAGGTATCGGAAAAGGAGTGGGAACAAGCCCTAGGGGGCTATATGTGAATTTATGGCTGACAATAACTTAAGACAGACACAGCCCTTTATTGAACACAGATGTTTTATTTTGCCTCCTTTCTACCAGAAGTGGAAGCCTGATGCTTAAGAAATGAGGGAATGTTAGATAAATCTTCTTTTTCATTTTGTTTCACTTAATTTTATGAGTAAATAAACAGCATTGTAAGAATAAGCTGAGTGTTTCCTGTGGAACCAAAGATATGTAGTCTGTGTCATCTTAGCTCAAGTGAGTTCACAATTCAACTGTGCAAGAAATTGCCACTTCCCACCTTGTCTTGGGGTGGGTGGGAAATATGCATTTAACAATTAATTAAATTGTCTTTTTTTAATTAAGCACCACTGGAGCAGAATGCTCCCCAAAAGTGAAGTGAGACATAACCTTGCAGAATCCTTAGCATCTCCTTACTCAAAGGGTGAGGAAAGTAGCATCTTATGGGAGGAAAAAAGATCCATCTGCCAGCTTAATTCTTTTATAGGAAAGAATAGAAGAACACCATGTGGCAAAACATCTTGTGGTACTGAATTGCATTATTTTGTTCATTGTGGTAAAATCTTTCACAGTGGTGGGCAGTACTCATAAGTGCGGCAGAGCTGAAAGCAAACAGTTTTTTAAGAAGCAAGTATATGCTGAAGTTAAGAATGGAGCTGTATAGAACAACATGTGTAAATTTGATGGAGGTACTCTCAGGTACTAATAGTTACTTATTTAATTCTCTGTTTTTAGTGTTTTGGACAGTCAGAATATAGTGTAGGAATAAAAGTGAAATGTGAAATTAATTAGTGAGGCTACTTATTAGATATGTTTTTGTGTAGCATTTAGGTGTGCCTACTGCTTTTTCCTGAATCCTGCAAGAAAAACCAGACCTCAGGCTCCACGACTTCCAGACTTCAGTTTTGAAAAAAAGCAATCTACAGAATTGCGATCTGAAACTGAGCCTCTAGAACCTAGAGAGAGAAAGCCCCAGGAGACTCAACAGACAGAAGGTATGTGCTAATCTCATGAAGTGTGCTCTTTTTAATGTCTAATCAAGTCTCCCTGTCATCTAGCTGTCTGTCTAGATGAGTTTCTAATAAGAATAAGGACAACTGAAGAACTCAAACACTGGAACAAGCTTCCTAGAGATGTGGTCGATGCCCCAAACCTGTCAGTGTGGCATTTGGACAATACCATTAATAACATACTTTAACTTTTGGTCAGCCCTGAATTAGGCAGTTGTTGGTCCCTTCCAACTGAAATAGTCTGTTCTTTTCTAACTTACAGTGAGTGCAATTTTTTTTTTTAATTCTTCTTGTCTCTGCTTCTAGCTTAGCTTGTTGATACTGTAGTCTTCTGTCCTGTACTCTAAAATTTCTTCATATTAGGCAATGTCTCATGCAAATGATGGCATAACAAAACTTTTCACTGTAATGTTACTGATAAACAGATAGAAAACAGCATTGTAAATTACAGAAATAGTTAAGAAGGGAATATGTCCTGAAGTGGTTAACTTTCACTGTGTTCAGCA